ATAAAGCTAAAAAGCTTCTGAACATCAAAGAAAATGGTCTCTAAACTGAAGAGAACACCCACAGAGTGGAGAAAATATTTGCCAACATATACATCAGACAAGGGACTGATAACCAGCAAATATATTAGGGAATTAAAATAACTAATCTCCAAAACTAATGAACTACAAAAGAAATGGGCAAGTGAACTAAACAGAACTTTCCTCAAAAGAAGAAATTCAAAATGGCCTCAAAAACACATGAAAAAAATGCTCACCATCTCTAGCAATAAAGGAAATGCAAATTAAAACCACGCTAAGATTCCACCTCACACCTGTTTAGAAATAGCCATCATCAGCAACACAACACCAACCACCAACAGGTGTTGGTGAGGATGCGGGGAAAAAGGAACCCTTCACTGTTGGTGGGACTGTAAACTAGTACAACCACTCTGGAAAAATTTGGAGGCTACTTAAAAAGCTAGACATCGATCTACCATTTGATCCAGCAATACCACTCTTGGGGAATACAGCAAAGACTGTGACACAGGTGAACTCCAGAGGCCACCTGCACACCCATGTTTATTGCGGCACTATTCACAATAGCCAAGTTATGGAAACAGCCAAGATGCCCAACACTGACAATGGATTAAGAAAAAATGGTGGTATCTATACACATGGAATTTTATGCAGCCATGAAGAAGAATGAAATGTTATCATTCGCTGGTAAATGGATGGAATTGGAGAACATCAATTCTGAGTGAGGTTAGCCTGGCCCAAAACGACCAAAAAATCGTATGTTCTCTCCTCATATGTGGACAATTAGATCAAGGGCAAACCAAATGGGTAAGACGTGAGCACATGATAAAAGCGAGAGCAACCAAGGAGGGTGAGGATGAGGTAGACACCTAAAATTAGCTGCATTTGTTGCCCTTAACGCAGAGAAACTAAAGCAGATACCTTAAAGCAACTGAGGCCAATAGGAAAAGGGGACCAGGAACTAGAGAAAAGGTTAGATCAAAAAGAATTAACCTAGAAGGTAACACCCACGCACAGGAAATCAATGTGAGTCAATGCCCTGTATAGCTATCCTTATCTCAACCAGCAAAAACCCTTGCTTATACTCTCTCTACAACAAAATTAGAAATAAGGGCAAAATAGTTTCTGCTGGGTATTGGGGGGGGAGAGGGAGGCGGAGTGGGTGGTAAGGGAGGGGTTGGGGGCAGGGGGGAGAAATGACCCAAGCCTTGTATGCACATATGAATAATAAAAGAAAAAAAAAAAGACTTGGGTCTGATCTCTTCAGAGCCGGCCACGGAAACAGAAGTGGCCTGTGGCTACATGTAGAAACATCTACCACTGCGTCTGTCCGTCCTGGCTCCCTCGTCATGATAGGGGCTGGTGCAGGAAATCCCGCTCCAGTCACTGCTCTGCCTGCAACTTGCTGTAAGCTGGTCCAAGTTCTGCCCACCTTCAGGGCTCTGAACCTTCTCAGTAAGGTGTGACTGGTGGCTACGCTATGGAGTTGGACTGTGTTTCGCAAGTCCTCACGTCAGTCCTTACTCTAAATACCACAGGCCCTCAGTAAATGTTGAATGACAAGTATCATGGCCACTATGGAGCAACTTGGGAGGGCTCCATAAAACCAGGAGTCTGTGGTTTCCAGAAGAGACCAGAGCAAAGATATCAAACAGAATGAAGGTGGCTTGCACTGAGACTTCAACTTCTCAGGATGATGGATCTAACACTGTTAGGAGCAGTGGTGATTATGTCAGAAACTGGACATTGGCAATGGAGAGCAAATCCCTGGATCTTCCCCAGCAAGCATTTGAAGTAAGTCCCAAGCGTCCCACATGTGTGAATGCTTACCTTCATAACAAAGGAGTAAGGCACTGGCCACATGCTATCGCCTGCTCTTTCCAAATAAGCTACTGTAAGGTGCTGTGCCTTGGGGATGGCTGCCTTGCACCAGCCACAGGCCCTAGATCTGGGTACTTGGTTTCCCTCAAGCTTCCTCCCCCAGCTGCCCCATTCAACCTCCTGGCTTTCCAACAAACACATGACCCCACATCATATGACCCCAGCAGTCCTCCAAAGTGGGGGGCTTGTTCCCACCCTCCGATTTAGAAATCACACAGCCCCCCCAAACCTGAACATTATCCTCCCTGCTCCCTTTTCTGCAAGCATCAGTCTCTATCCTGGGCACCCCTGCCCTGTGCCTGCCCAACATGCAGGGGGCTCGTCACTCCACCATAGGTGGCCCCAACAGACAACTTTTTAGAATTTGGTTGGACAAACTGCCCACCTCCTGAGGCTGGCCTCATCCAAACCTAACCTAGTAGGTCCAGGTAGACTTGAACTTAAAGTAGAAGGTGCTTGGGCTTGTTCCCAGGTCAGAAGCCTACCTCCACCACAGCCAAGTTCAGGAAAAGCAGTCACCTGAATCGGTTTTCCCTCCTTAATGAGAAACCATACATACAAGGCCTGTGCTGAGGACTCTTACCTGCATTTTCTCATTTTGCTTCCCTATTGCCAGGTGAGAATGGGTACTCTTATCATTATTTCCATTTCATAAAGGATGAAGTCGAGGCTCAGTTACCCGTCCAAAGTCAATCAGCAGGGGATTAGGGTGCCTCTATGTCTCAGGCCGGAGCACACTCCCGCCCCCACAACCCTGGAAAGCAGAGACTTTAGGACTAGGGCCTGGGGCTGGAGGTGTGGCTCAAGCAGTAGAGCACCTGCCTCGGACTAGAGCCTGGTGCTCCCTCCTTTCACCCCTTACTACCTTCCTTTGGCGCATCCGCATCCCACACGCTCCACATCTGCACGAAGAAGAATGGCGTCCAGCACACGATGAAGGCCAGCACGATGATGAAGGTCATCTTCACCGTGCGGATCTTCGCCTTGGAGATGAGCTTGACGCTGCTGACTCGTGCCAGGGCCGCGAGCCCCTCGCCGCTGGCCGCAGATCCCTCAGGCTCCTGGGCTGCTGCCGCTGCAGCTGTCTTGAGTCGCAGGTTCTGCCAGATCTTGAAGCTGATGAGGCCATAGCAGGCTGCCAGCACGATGACCGGCACGATGTAGACGGCAAGCGTGATCCATGTGACGTAGGCCTTGGGTCCCCAGGGCTGGATGAAGACGGCCCAGCAGTCAAAGACGCCGTCGGCCACTTCGCGCAGGGAGAAGATGTGCACCTGAGGCGCGCTGGCTACCAGGCAGCCAAGCCACGTGGCTAGCACCGCTAGGCGGTCTGTGCGGCGACGCAGCGAGCGCAGCGGTTGGCATATGGCCAAACAGCGGTCGAGCGACATAAGCAGCAGCAGGTAGGTGGAGGCAAACATGCCCACCACCTGTAGGTATTTGACCAGGCGGCACAACAGGTCAGGCCCGTAGAAGCGGAAAGTGATGTCCCACAGTAGCTGCGGCAGCACCTGGAACACAGCCACCACCAGGTCGGCAATGCTCAGGTGCTTCATGAAGAAAAAGAGGCGCGAGTGCTTGTGGCGCGTGGTGCGCAGCGCCAGCAGCACGCACGCGTTGCCACTCAATGCGAGGAAGAGAATGAGGCACAGCACCGCCACCTCCACACGTGCCAAGGCCTCGTTGCGCCGGGGCGGCCCGGCGGTGCGGTTGCCCTCTGGCCCCGGAGGCACCGCGCTCGCGTTGACTGCCTCGGCGCTCCAGTTGACCGGGGGCGCTCCCTCCATGACCGTGGTCGCGTGCGCTCCCGGTCTTCGGGTCCCTTAAGGCGGGGCGCTGCGGGGTGGGGCGGGGCGCCACGCGCAGTGCAAATGTGCCTGGGGGAGCGCGGCAGTCTCCACTCCTGGAGTGCCCGCGTTCTGATCTGCTGGGTCCCACCTGAAAGAAACCGAAGGGCCGTGAGGAGACTGTCGCCCTTGTCAAGATGCGCGTGGGGCGCACTTGTCTCCTTCCTAAGAATCTCGAAGTCATCTGAAACTCGGGGCGCAGCCTCCCGCCACCGGGACGCTTAGCAGCTACTTCCCCCGCTCCCGAAGAAATCCCGGTTAGAGGTAACCTCCTCTGAGTCTCTGCAAAGGAGCGGGAATCTCCTACCCAGTTCTTTAAGAGCTTCAGCGCTTCCCCTGGAGAGAAAGGAGGATTGTAACCAACCCCTTTCCTCCGGACTGGGACTCCCAACCCAGCCACCTACTCCCCGGAACACCCAAAACCTACACCTTTCCCCCCCAGGACCCTCAGTCCAACAACCTGCCGCGGGACCCCCAAAACTAGTCCCTGGTCTAGGAATCCTTACCCCAAGTACTTCCTCCCGCTAGCCTGGAAGAGCCCCCCTCAGGACCCTCCCCTCCAGCCTCCGGTTTCTAACACGCTCAACCATCACTCCCTGAACTCCCGTAACCACTGCTTGCGTAGAACACCGGTGCAAGCAGTCCCTCCCGATGGGACTCCTACCTCAAAGCCAGGGACGGAAACACCTCCCGCGAGGATCCTCCCCAGTCCAGCAGCCCGACGAACGTCTAAGTCCCCAACAGTCAGGGGCTCTGTGCAGTAATCCTGAGCAGTCACTATACAACCGTTCGCAGCACCCTGAGCGCCTCCAGGAACCAGAAGCGCGAGAGACCCCCACCACCTCCACTCATATCCTGTTGGCCCCACTAGCGCTAGTCAGCCCTTCCCACACTCCCCCCGCCGCCCGGTGCGCAGGACCCCTCTACCTGCACCGAGTCCGCAGGTTAGCCTAAAGTTGCTCCCTGGAGAAGTTGCGCTGCCGCCGATGATCTCAAAGACGCGTGCGGTGCGTTGCCCGCCCAAGGGTGGAAAGACTGTCGGCGGCACCCACTGGGTCCCTATGCTGAGGTCTCGCACTCTGGAGCTTGCGCTGGATTCCTCTCTCCCTCAGCTTTGCTGGTGGCTAGATGGGGACAGAAGGCAAGCGAAGAGCGCCGCGGAGGCTGGGCGCGTGAACAGCGTCAGGACGCGGCGCTGCAGCCTGGTGGCTGGCTGTACTGCAGTCAGCTCGGGGCTTCACTGCCACACCATGTCGCTAGGGGGCAGGGGAAGCTGGCCGCGCCGACCTCAGAGGAGCCTGGGTCAGCTCGAACAGTGTTGATCTCAGTCCCAAGGAACAGGCTTGTTTCGCAGCGGCTTAAAAATCAGGGAGAAGAAACTCGTAAATAACCCTCCTGGTTTCTTCCTTTCTTGGTTTAGAAACTCCTGACTCTCCCAGACAAACAGGAAGCTTAAATAGTAATGTTCTGCTGAGAGTGGATGATGAAGTTACAAAAGCATTTAACTGGTGTTTCCAAAACGTGTGAGGGATTAAGTTTCACACCTTTCTTTCCTTCTTGATTTTTGTTTAGTTTTGTTCTGTTGTTTAAGTGAAATCAGGTAGGTTCTTGCTTTGGAATACTTTTGGTTTTATCCCGTTAAAGGGAAATGGAGCACCTTCTTTCCAAGCAGCACTGGGGGAGGCGGGAACCTCATTCTTTGACTAGTTTTTGGTGGCAATTTCAAGCAAAAAGAAGAAAGAAAAAACTATCTTCATTAAAGTGGACTCTGCTGGTCTGTGGACCCAACGCCATTTCTCCCTACTTGTCATGCTTCAAAATTTCAAATCCTTAAATGATGCCAAAGGAAAGATGAAAGTTAAAGCCACTCGTCTGCCTCCGTGCTTCCTTTTTCTAGTCTAAATGACCAATTTCTGAAGTGATTTACAGTGGGCCAAGAATTCAGGGCAGGTAGCAAAAAAGGCCAGAATTCAAAAATGAACAGGCTCTTCAAAGGCATTCTAAATACATATTTTTGACATTTCATTTCTCCTCTTTTTAATTATGGGAGAGAAACTGAGTTAGCCAAGGCACTGAGTCTCCTGACTCCCAACATTATGGTCCGCTGCCAAACATCCTGGGGCAGGCTTCCCCAGGGTTCTATTTGAGCGGGCCTTCCAGGATGAGGCTGGGGAACCCTACAGAACTGCCAAATGGCAAAAAGGCAAGAGTTGTCTTCTCTTGCCCCTGGGAGTTGTATATAATATTCCCAAAGAGCATCTGTCATGAAAACTGCCAAACTAGATTACTGAATGCTCAGCTGAGAATTAAGCAACTTTGGGGCAAAAGTCCTCTTTCTCCGTGACCTCCAGTTTCCCCTATATGGAAAATGAGAGGGCTGTCAAGACTGCTGATGTTTGAGGTCCATCCCTCTGTGGGTTCTGAAATGTTACAATTCCATTTGCCATCTGAGCGCTTAAGTCTAGCAGGTAAAACACCTTTGATGCTGATTCCAGGGCTGGATGAGGAAGATTTGCTCTCAGAGCCCTGTTAGTAAGTCTGGAAAGGAAGGTACTGGAATGTTAGGAGGACCAGCCTTCTCTTGTTCCAAAGAAAAGAGCCTTCCTTCAAGAGCAAGTTACCTGGCCATTCTCCAGCACAGGCTCTTCTTCTTCCCATGTTTGCCCAAACCTGTGTGGTCTTTGGCATGGCAGATTGAGACACAAATTCTGGATTTACTTAGGAGGACTGTTTGGTTCTCAGGCAAAACTAACGCTTCTCAACCTGGAATTAGCCTAGTGGGAAGTACTGACAAGCCATTGGCAAGGCCCTAGGTTCAATCTCCGCACACAAACAAAAACAAATAAATAAAAAACCCTCTAACTTAGCTTTCATCTGAAAAAAAAAAGAAGGTTAGTAAGGGGACACTCATTGCCTGTCTTTTGTTTTTATTTCACACTGTATGTAGAAACCAGGCAGGGAAGAAAGCACTATTTACCTGGGACCCCCCTGAAAGTCGCCTGATGGATGAATAAGTCAATGTTCCCCACAAACACACACATTCACACCAGCTCTACCCAGGGAGAAAAGCACATATAAGTTTGGTTGACAATGGTAATGCCCAATTAAAGAGAGTGCTGAGGGCTGAGAGAGCACTTTTGGGATAGCTGACAAAGAAGAGGCTGAATTTTGAGGCTTCAGAATAAGTTCTGTAAGGCGAGCAAAAATAAAGGCAACTTCTTCAAAGAGTTGCCTACAGGCTGTGGGTTGCCATATTGGGGGGACTAAACCAATCCCATATGGCTGGGATGAGCTTCTGGGTGCCCATTTCACCCAGCATCTTTAGAAATAAAATAATTACTGTACTGTAAATAAATTAATTTACTAGAATTAGAATTAATTACCATGTGTTCTCCCACGTGGGAAAGAAATGCTCTTCCTGAGTGGTATTCAAGATTTGAAAATTAGTATTGAGTGACACTGAATAAGGTCGGAAATTCTTTCTCAGATTTTATTCCATTCCTTTTGATTTCATCAAGGAGAAGTCTGATCAAAGAAAATCTTGAAGGGATGGTACAAGGACCAGCTGAGGGTGAAAGGACAGTGGAGAGGGGGAAGGAAGGTAGGGGAAAAATGGGGAGGGGTACCAGCTTTGAGGGACCATTAGAGAAGCCTTGCAAAGAGAGGCTGTAGCATGCAACCAGGAGGGTGACACTGGAAGGCTGTATTAGAGTCTCCAAAGTAAAAACAGAAACATAGGACGTATATATGGGGAAGAGAGAGGGGAGAGGGGGAGAGGGAAGCGAAGGAAGAAGAGAGAGAGAGAGAGGAGAGAGAGAGATGTATAATTACAGGAACAGGCTTATGTGTCATGGGGCCAGCAAGTTCAAAATCCACGGGCAGGCTGTGGTAGTCTGAGACCTGGGAGATGCTATCTTATATTCAAGTCTGAAGCATCTGCTGCAGAATTCTTTCATTCTCAGGGAGATGACTGTTTTGTTCTATATAGTTGTGGCCTTCAACCAGTTGGAAGAGGCCCACCTTCATTGAGGAGGGCAATTCTGGCTTTACTCAAAGGTCTACCGATAAAATGTTAATCTTGTGCAAAACACATGCTTCAAAGAAACATCCCAGAATAATGTTGCCATAGCAGTGTGGTATTTTAAGTCAACACAAAATGAACTGTCACCCAGAAGTCCCAGGCAATTTACTATTCTACATGCTGCCCCTCCTGTCTGAGTATCCTTGAAGGCAGGGCCCATGTTACATGTACCAGTTCCTCAAAAGGCCTAGGCCATAGCAAAATGGGTATCTTGACCCATTTAAGTTATTCCTTAAAAGAGAAGGATGGAAGGGAGAGTAGGAAGATAAGCAACATTCACCATTGCAGTTTTGCTCTCTTGAGAGCAGGACTAGCCACCTGTGGGGAAGGCATCCGTCCAATATCCACTCCTTTACCTTGGGGAACTGGTCCTAAGTTTGAGCAAACCTGGGAATTTTCCAGTCTGGTACATTTATGTAGACATGATCCAAGCCCCAGAAGCCTTGCCCTGCCAGGCAGGTTAGGAAATGAATAGCAAACCTCCCCCCACCCACTCTCCCCTCCTTCCCCCATGCCTCCTTCCCTCAAATTCTCCAGTTGTGCTTGAAGGTTTCCTGGCTCCAAGGAGAGGGGTCAAGTAACTCATTGGCAGGAAGGACTGAGAACACATGCAGCAATAATCTTTGCTGTGCAACCTTTTACCCTGGCTTTCTTTACATTTTCAGCTGTTGTGTTAACCAGGATGCGGAGCTGACCTGGGAATTCACATGACTGTTGTTCACCATTGCCACCTTACTGTTATAACCATTACATTCTTCCTCAAGCCCCGATTCATCTTGGATTGCTTCCTCAGCTTGTGTGTTCATTGCTGTTGCTCCTCGAGGGTAGAAAAGAGGAAAAAAAGCATGCTTTTCATGTTAGAGGCTCTGGCTCTATAAGTAATGTAGTACTGTGTCTGGGTTTGTGACCATACACTCCTGCCCATGGTGGGCTAAGTTTAACTGAGTCTCTGTCAGACTCAGTTTTTCCAAGTTGCTGACTTTCTGGGGCTGTGTGATGTA